GTTGCAAGGGTCCGTAGCCTTCGAAGCGCAGCTCCCGCCGACTCCCGCTCTCCCCCCTCTCCTCCTCCCTGCTCGGTCGTAGTTGCGTCTCACTGTTCAGACGCTCGCGACCAATTTGCAAGGGTCCGAAGCTTCTGAACTGCAGCTCCGCCGACTCCCGCTCTCCCCCCTCTCCTCGTCCCTGTTCGGTCGTAGTTGTGTCTCACGGTTCAAACGCTCGCAACCAATTTGCAAGGTCCCGTAGCTTCCGAAGTGCAGCTTCCGCCCTTGGAAAACCAACACCCGCACATCGACATCTCCCAGAGCACAGCTGAGCCACTCCAACAAGCAGCCCGATCCAACTCACAAACGAAAGCACACGCCTTTTTTTTCCAACTCGAGTGAACCTGACAACCTGTATGAGTGAGCTATGGCCGAGGGATGCCTCCAGCCAACTGCCAATAACTCCACTGGGCCCTCCAGCAGAGGTCCTGACCGCCCACCCTTGCTGGCCCCGGGGCCCGATGACGGGACCCGGCGCCCGCCCCGCACCGAGGAGCACCACGCCCGGCCCGGAACAAAAAATCCCCCCCCTGCCCTCGGGAGGCCTGGGACCGCGTCGGCGGACGTCGTGGGATCCTGCCGAACGCCGGCGCCGGCGCAGCACGCAGGCCCAAAAAGCGGCGCGGGCGCGCCGGGGGGGAGGCTCAGGTCGGGCATGTCCCTCTACAGGCGGATTTTAGACGAATTCTGTTTTTTGTCTCTATATATCTATATATCTATATCTATTCATTTATATTTTATATATATATATACACATATATATATATGTATACATATATATATATATGTATACACATATAAAACAAAAAATCAAAATGATCCAAAACGGTCAGAAAATCATCAACCAATCATGCTTGCTCCACAAAGGTCAGGAAATACTCAAAGAAATCGTCCCCAGACTATTTTGTTGACTATTCTTTGAATCCTCCTCCTGCAGAGGGACGCGCCCGACTTTCAGGGGCAGCGCCCGCCCAGCGCCCAGCGCGCTCCTAGGCGCGCGGGGGCGCGCCGCAGGGCCGCGCGGCGTCGGCCTGGGGCGCCGCTCGCTCGGGGGGGGGCTCCCGCGGGCGGAGGGCCTGGCGGCGGGCCCCTCCGCCCGTGCGGGCGGCGGCGGGGGAGTCGTGCCCGGACAGCCCCCCGCGGCGCCGCCAGCAGAAAACCAACGACAGGCGGCGCTTGACGCCGTCTTGGAACAATCTCGGGCCACTTGAGGGCGCTCTTTGCCTATCTTGGCGCTCTCTGAAGCCGTTCCCGAACCCTGGAGGAGGCCTCTTGAGCTGTCTTCGGACGACCGTGCAGGCGGCGGGGGGGGGGGGAGTCGTGTCTGGACCCCCCAGGGTTAAGTCGGGCCTGTCCCTCTACAGGGTTTTTTTAATGGTCAAAAGTACTATAACCCCAGGGCGCCGTCAGCAGAAAAGCAACGACGGGCGGTGTTTTTTTGTTGCACAGCACTGCGCACTTTTTGTTTTTGTTTGAGCTCCACGCCCACATCGAAGTCCTCTCAAGCGAGGAACAGGCGCCCCACTGCCATGAGGAGGAGCAGGGGGCCGCTGCACTGCGCACTCCTGCTCCGGGAGTCAAAAAGAAATCGACGTCAAGGAGAGGGACTTCACTCCAGGCGCCGTGCGCTGGCACGGTGGTCTGGGCCAGGATGCACCGCAGTGCTGCGAGCAAAGACGAGACAGGTCGGAGGAAAGGCCCAGGGTCCAGTCCAGCTTCTGGATTTTCGGGAGCGAGATCTGGAGTCCATGAGAGTTGACGCTCTTTCTTGGGGTGTCTGATGGGTGTACAGTCGGGCCTGGGCCAGAAGAACATCCTTCAAGAACACGAGACACTCCGTCGGCCAAAACAAACAGAACATCCAAGGGTATCCTTCCCAAGATGCACAAGAACATCCAACCAACACCAATAACACTAGGGTTTTACCCTGCCCGAACCGACATCGATCTTATACCTCGATCCGACTGCACTTTCCGCCTCTGGGAGCCTTGCCGGGCCCCGGGACCGTCACAATGAACGACTCGGGATGAAAAACCAGTCCCGGGGGAGGAGGCGGAGGAGGAGGAGGAGGAGGAGGAGGAGGAGGAGGCGGTCGAGGCCACCAGGGGCCCACGCTGTGGAAAAAGTGCCGGCGTCGCGGAGGTCTGGGTAACCAGATGTCCAACATCTTGCAGTGAGCCCAGCGCGACCCCGAGATTAGAGTAAACCTTCGTAATGCATGGGCGCATGGAGTGGCCTTGTTTGGCGTTGCTTGGCATATTGCTTGGCATTGCGTGGCATTGCGTGGCACTGCTGCGTGGCAGTGCTTAGCTTAGATTGGCCCGGCATTGGTTGGCAGTGCTTAGCCTTGCTTGGAATTGCCTGGAATTGCGTGGCATTGCTTGGCGTTGCTTGGCATTGCCTGACATTGCGTGGCACTGTCTGGCATCGTATTATATTTTCACTCCGCGCCTTGCTCTTCGATCTCGGCCCCATTATCTGGCACCGTGATCATCTAGAATGGACCTGGAGCGCAAAACGATCCTCGCCCAGGGAAAGGTCGGGAACTCTGGGTCCTCGCATTGAAAAACCTGGCGTTGCAATTTGTTCACAGTGGGCGTTTTCGCGCACCGTGATAATCTAGGATGGACCTGGAGCGCAAAACGATCCCCGCCCAGGGAAACGGGCGGGACCTCTGGGACCCTCGCATTGAAAAACCGGGCGTTGCAATTTGTTCACACTGGGCGTTTTCGCTTGGTTTCGGGCCCCGGGACCATCACGGCTCAACCTGGCTCGAAAAAAAACTGGCGCCGACACGTGGGGTCTATAGGGCTCCGACGGGGACTCTTCGCGATGCTGCAGCTTTTTCGCAACGCTGGATCTTACAGCACGCAGAAGGGACGCCGATAGGACCTCTCCCAACCCCCTCCCCCGGGGCACGCATGTCCGCCCCGGGGCCATTCTCGGGCACCAGAGGCCCGACCAGGGGCCCAGAGAGGCCGACAAATCTTAGACAAGAAACGCCTCGATCGACAGCGGCCCTTCGGGACGACCTGGGCACCCCCGGGAGCGCTCTCGACGAGGCGCAGCCGCTGAGGAGCATCCCGAGGCTGGAAAGCGTCCGACCACGTCCGAACACGGCCCAGATTGACAAGACCACGTCGTCGGGGCGACCACCTTTCTACCGCCAGACCGACCTGTGATGGTCTGGGGGCCCGAAACCCAACGAAATGCAACGTCCGCTCACAGAAGTTGAACGTCGTGTTTTCTCACAACGTGGACCGCCCCAACACTGGTTCTTCATCCCAGGTCGTCCGGGGGCCCGGCGAGGGCCCCTGGAGGCCGAAAATTGACAGAAGCCTCCCCGACGTCGTGCAGGAACTGCTCGTCAAAAACCACGACCCGAGCCCTATAAGCCCCATCTTTCTGCGCCATCTTTCCAAGCGGATCGATCCGTGAGGGTCCTGGGGCCCGAGACGTGCCCAACCCTTCTGTCCATGTGAGGCGACAATCGAAAAGAGTGCTCCTTACAATAGAACGCATCTTACATCGAGAGATACGCAGCACTCTGGCCCACGAGGACACTGACAGGTGCGCAGCTGGCAGCCTCACAGGGAGCCGCGAGGTCCAATCGGCAGCCCCCCAGGGAGCCGCGAGGTCTCGCCTGATGCCCCCAGAGTCGAATCGACAAGTCGGATCGGCGATCGAAATGAATCGGATCGGCGGCAATCGGCAGCCGAGTCGGGCGAAGTCGAATCGGCGGAAATCGGCAGGCTAGTATGTCTCCAGTAAGGAATCGGAATCCAAATAGGAATCCGAAGTCGAATCGGAATCGGAAGCCATCGAAATCGAATCGAACCGAATCGGAGGAATCGAAACGAGCCCTGCTGATGCCCCGTGGGACCCCACTCCGCTGGCCCTCCCAGGAACCCACGGAACTGGCGACGGCTGCGCAGTTGACAGCCCCCGAGGGAGCCACGAGGTGGGCGGCAAGCAGGACAGGATGCAGCAAGCACGCAGGCAGGACGCAGGAGGCAGGAGGCAGGGGGAGGAAAAGCAGAAGACGCGCGAGCAGTGGGTGGCAGGAGGGAGGCAGGAAGGAGGAGAAAACCCCAGCACAGGAGGGCTGGGGCAAAAATGCAACGCCCTCCTCCTCCTCCTCCTCTTCCTCCTCCTCCTTTTCCTCCTCCTCCTCCTCCTCGGGAGGAGGAGGAGGAGGAGGAGGAGGAGGAGGAGGACTATGGACTATGGATTGGCCTGCCTCCGAAGAGGCAGGTCCGAAAGGAGGAGGAGGAGGAAGAGGAGGAGGAGGAGGCCGCACGCATGCATCGAACGAGCACGGACTCCGCATTGCATGGGGCCAGGCGCTCGGTCGCCTGCGGTGCGTGGAGACCCGGTGGAAGCGAATACATGGTTTCGATGCTGCCGCTGTTGCCTGTCTCCCAGAGGTGGGGTGGAACCCTGAAGAGCCCGACCGTTGGGTAGCTCTCGACGGCGAGTTTTTCCAAATTGTAACATGTGATCAGGAGCGTTTGCTGGATTTTGCACTGCTCGACGCCTTCGACAAGCAGGCCTGGAAAAAGCGAGCGAGCACTACGATGGTAGCAGCCATCGTTGACCGTGCTGACATGTTTATCCCGCTACGCAAGCTGAACAAGCTCCGATCGGCTAAAGCGTACGATCAGACAGCAATCTTGGAGATGATTCTGTCATGGCTGAAGCTCCTGAGCTCTCTGGCCAGCGTCTCGGCGTTTTGGGAAGGAGGCTCGGAGGCCTCTTCCGAGGGCTCATCCTCGTTCTCCTCCTCCGGAGGCCCCCCTTTCGGCCCCCTCGGCCCCTGCCCTGTCCTCCTCGGGCGGCAGCGGCATGGCAGAAGATGAATCCGATTTTGAAGCCATGGCGCAGGAGGCTGAGATGGGGGGATTTCGCGCAGGAGGAGGAGTCCATGGTGTGTAGGCTCTGTGATGAGGAGCCGCTTC